ACAGTAAAGAAGTTCTATCTAACCTCAAACATTAATCACAAGCTAGACCTCGCAAACAGAAAAACACACCATTTGTGTGTGTATAGGTCATATCTCTATAAATACTCCTCCGAAACGGCTCGACGGTAAATCATTAAAAAAAATTATTTTATTTTTTAGAATTCAATTTTCATTTTTTTATGATACAGCATACAAAAATCCAATACCTCTACGATCAACCCCTATTTTTTATTATTGTAGATAGTTATTTTTATTGAACTAAACAAATGTTTCCTAGAAATAATATACATGGCAAAACAACGTTTGCCGAGTCAGCTAGTTTATCTAGATGACATTATAACATCATAAACAGACTAAATTAAAATTGTATTATTTTTGAAAAAGTTATTACTTGCGTTAACTGTAGTAGTTCACAAGTGTAACATTCGTGATGTAAAATGCAAAACTCGCTAATTAACTCTTCGCTCGTAAAGGGATAGAGGTCAAAAATTTTATGGAGCATTTTACATTCATATTAGACTGTGAATATGGCGGTGATTGTTAATTTTGTCTAAGTATAATGTTAGGATCTTAGAAATTGCAGTTTTTTAAACGCGTTTATTGTTATAGTAAGGTACTTAGTCAATGAGTTATTTATAATGCAGTATTTAATATGCATATATAATGTATCTTTTTATCTAACTTGTCCATGTTTTTACTCATAGGTAGTTTTATTCGACTTGATGCCTGCCTTGTTTAAGTAGAATAGAATAAATAATATGATAGAATAAATATCCATCTTTCCCACCGCTTCAATTATGTTTGTCAATCAGTATAATAGTGTGATTAATATCGTAAGAAAGCGTATACCATTATATTAAGATAGGATTATCGTTGAATGCTCCATATTCTGTATAACAAACGCGTTAAGATTACTATTGGGCCTGCCGATGTTCTGCTGTGCGTCAGGTGTTTGCCAATACCCGAACTTACGGTTTTATTGCCATCATTTGGAAAAGAGTGGCATTATTGCAGCGTGTTAGGCATAGCACCAATATAGTATCCTGAATAGGTTGATCACAAAGAACACGTTATATCTTATATCTTAAAACGTTGGAATGCTGATCATGCCCCACTCTATGACTGTTTTGATTCTTTTTTGTTTTGTTTACTAACCAAAACATTTGGTAAGGGCGAAAAACTAAGTCTAACTAAGATATACATGCATATAACACCTTTTACATGGCAAGCAAGGTTTACAATAATATGCCAAAAGAACTAAAATATCTTCCGAATAGAGTTTTGAAAAATCGACTTGGTGTATTACTTTTGAAAAAAAATTATTATTCAATAAATGATTGTTTGCGTGAGACACTGTAGTTGATATAAATTTAATAACGTATGATATGATATGTACGATACAAAGATACAAATAATATAAGAATTGACCAATTCATGACTAATAATGTAAAATGTAAAATTCCTTTAAAGACAAATTTGCGCGCCATTATGTGTGGCAGAATATGCGAACTTACGATTGTACCACCTTACACATTTTTGTACCGTATTCTTGCAATAAATAAATAATAATAATTATTATTACAAATTGTTAAAAAATCCTACTTGTTCCTGATACCATAGGGATCTTTAATATTCTGTATACAGTGTACTCGAATTCCATATTTATAATTTGTTTTCCTACTACAAGCTAACATAATTATTAATGGAAAAATTACAGTTAACTTTTCCCTTTCTGGTGATCGTAACAAAGACGTTACTATTTATAAAAGTCCATTTTATAGAGGACACGAGACCGCGATCACGACTTGTCATCGATCAAATTCAACTGGTGCTGGTATCAAAATGTACTTACTATTGTCCTCCCGATAAAATATGAACGGTGACGTTGACAAATCTGCTTCTAGTCACAACATGCAGGTATTTTTTCATACAAATGCTTAGGAACTGTGCCGATTTAGTTTGCTCAGGGGCGTGGAAATCGTTACGTGCTATGAATGCTGTGAAATATTTGCACGTATATTAATGCCCCGTTCACAATATATTACATTATTTGTGATTGTATACTAATATACTTATATGTTATGAAATGTCGTACCACAGTCATAGTATAGCATTATGTCTATAATCTATATGAACGCGAACAACTCACGAAGATTTTTGTGCGGTTTTCACAGATAGGTGCAGTTCTTGAATGTTTGTTCTCCTGGCTGTAGTCCTGATACAGAACATGACTAATAAATACGAGAACTATGCTGGCGAGTGGTGTGATGTCAACGTCACTAGAAAAAGCGAATTTCAACTTTTATATGCAGGTGCAAGTCTCCTGGCGTTGCAGGTGTCTATGGGCAGCGGTTAGCACTTAACTAACCCGTATTCCATAAAAAAAACGATAACATAAAACATTTAAATTAAAAGTGAACACAGGCAATTTGAAAATGGAATTCTGAATTTAAAAATTCAAAGTATATATACTTGACTTTTATTCTAAACAAAACTATTCTAGAAGTATTCCCTAAGCTCTAGTTCACACGCAAACAAAAAATATCGGTTGTCTGTAAAGTCGGTTTACTGACGATAGTTGAACGTGACAACGTCATAAAAAATATTGATGGGATGGTTGCATTTTTAAAAAAAAAATTAAATTTTATTTGTTTGATAAGTATTTTGTATGGATATAGAGAAGGAGGTAAATGGAAATCACAATTGAATTGATCAAGTTACATTTATTTGTACGCATAAATACAATTATGTCAATTTTAAATGTAACGCCTCAGAGCGAGGTAACGCCTCAGAGAGAGGTAACGCCTCAGAGCGAGGTAACGCCTCAGAGCGAGGTAACGCCGCATGAGTCATGTTTTTTCGTGCGTGCAGCCGGCTCCATCGAATTATAAGACGTTGTCACGTCAAAAATATTCAAATTTACAATTCCCCTTATCGTGTCATAGTATTTATCTCGCTGAATGAGCGAGTGACTTTGACAGATCGTCTGATGTCTGCTAAATAAGCCGAGAGTTCGTGATTACTTGTGACGCGCTCAACCTTTTTCGGTGACACTTGTTGTTCATTATTTATTACGTTGATATTATATAATGGCGTAGCGGTTTGAAATGTTTCGCTTTACTTAGATATAAACTGACTTTATAATAATGAGCCTTTATTCATCCACCTCTTACTGACATACATTAAACAAAAATAAATATAAATAAAATTTTTACTTCTCTCCCTGTCCGGGAGAAGGCCCCAAATTTTTCCACCCTATTTTATTTTGTGCCATGGTCATCCAAATATTTTTTAGCTACCCTTTCGATCCCGTCGGCCTATCGCTCTATTGGTCTGCCCTTCTTTACAAACTGACTTTAATGAAGCAAAATTAAGGGGATAACAAAACAGATAAAGAGTACTGTAAATAAAAGTAGCATACTCCTTCTTAAAAGACCGGCAACGCGCCCACTAACATGGGTATCCATGGACTGCGGTAGCTGCCTTTTAAGGCATTATCTTATAAAAAAATGTACAATATCTGTGAGGTAGTATAATACCGATTTTTTATATCAGTTTTTAGGTGATAAAATGAAAATTAATCTTAACTTAATCACTGGATCAATTGAAATCGAACAAGACAGCGATACTTTAAAAGTAACATTTAAGGTCATCTAAAGGTTGAAGCGCCATTCAGTAAAAACAGATGTGCGCAAATAAGAGTTGTCTATCACTTATGTAACCATAAATAATGGACTTAATATTGGTCTACGCCAGTACAATTACTTAATACTTTTTTATATTTGGACCATACTAGGACAAACAAGGGATACAAACAAACCAATTGACGTACATACAAAAATATGAAAAGCGGTGCCGTCCCTACAACATGCGGACTCGACTAGCGAAATCAAGTAAATTATTTACGTAGCATTTATATCCGCCGAATAAATTGTATATAATAAAGAAACAATAAAAGCTTTCTAATTTATTAGAAAATAGTTTCATACATTATGTTTTGCTTACGCCAGACAGCTGTTAGTCTAAGCCACGCCACTTCACTTAGCCTTAAACCACTTAAGTTGCTGATTGACGTTGTATTGAGATTAATTTAACACAATAGATGTAGCAGTGTTGGTCTAGCGGTTTCAGCATGCGACCTTCATTCCTGAGGTCGTAGATTCGAGCAAATTTACGCATTTATAATCCGCTTGTACGGTGAAAACATCGTGCCTTAGATCCACAAATTCGACGGCGTGTATCAGGCACGGTAAGCTGATCACCTACTTGCTTATTAGAAAAAAAACAATTGTTCACTAAACAGATACAGAAGTCTGATGCCCAAACCTAAAAGGTTGTAGCACGCCTGGTTTTTTGAATCGATAAATAGTAATTGCTTTAAATAAGTGGTGTTATACTAAATTACTAAAGGTAAAAACGTATTATATTGATTTCAATTCTGCAATAGGATTGATTTTTACAATTAAAAGTACCTATTATTTATAAGTCAGTTAATTAATATAATTTCGTCGTAAACATTACTCAGACCCAAATATTCCATAAACAAATATATTTAGTTTGATTGCTGACCCTACTTTTGACTCCGTATAATAGACATTGCTTTAATTTATGACGTAAAGTCCTGATTCCTAACCATCTGTTAGGGCTAATTTAACCTCCGGGGTGTCAACGTTAATCCAGTTTCGTTGCTGACCGTACTAATTGACGCCGCATAAATCATGTTAGGCCCGATCCAGACATACATATTGATTCATTGCTTAAACTTCGCTACTTGCAACTTAGAACCGTCATTAATATCGACGCGTGTTTAATAACTTTGATTTATGGCTAGTAATTGAATCTATATTGAAATTTTTGGAACCGAACCGTTTTATTCGTAAAAAAACCACTGTTTAAAAAGTATGGACTAGTTATATGGGTAACAGTTCTGTATAGAAGTTGACGATTTCCGGAAAATTTATATTTTGGGATGTCTTTGATCCTTTGGAGGATGGGAGTTGATGGGACGGTCTTTGGTATTGGATGCTACTTACGGGGACACGATAGCCCACTTTCACATCCAGCTTTCTTTCCTTTGGAAGAGACTCTTGAAAGAAGGAAGTTGGCGCCTAGTACATAGTAGTGAGTTGGTGCTTTCCTCAACTATTAAATCATATACAGAGACCAAACTTTTAAACCTTATTTTTGTTTTATATTAATCATTATAAATAATATTGTTACCTAAATAGAATTGTGTTTTGCGTCTGAAATTTAGATAAGAACTAAACATAACAGTAAAATCATATAGAAATGAAATTCTTGCATTTTAAACATTACGTAATGTGACTTACGTACGGTAAGTCTTCTTAAACTGCAAAATCCAACAGTATTTTTCAGTTAAGTTTAGTCTAAGAAAATAAATTCCCAAATCACAAAAACCCGTCGCAAGACGTAAGTACACGAATGCAAATAAAACGTTTGTTTAAACTTTTACGCTTTCCGGATAAACTTACACTTGGCGACAATTGGGATTGTACAGACAATACTAACCTCTATTGCTGAGAAATTAAGACGAAAGTCTCGTGACAATAAGCAACAGTATAAGTCAAATTGTTTTGGTTGTTGTATAAACTGCATAATCGCAGAGTAGCTTTAGATAGAGTATGTAAATTAAAAGATATTCTTTTTTACACTTATAAGTAAATTAACACACATTTATTGTCAGCAATTTTTTTGAATTGTTAAAAAACGCTGTTCTTCAAAATTTCTATGTGTGGAAGTAAACGTAATACTTTCGATTAAAGTCGTGATTGCAAAAATATAACAAAATCAGGTTTTGGTCTAACGGTTTATTTTAGTATTTTTTATGTATCTTAGCAGAAAAAAACTGATGGATTTGTTTTAATAATAAATTGCAAGAGAGTTACATCATTAATAATCACCATACCATCAACAGCAACCAAGACATGTTGTGTAATTGAATTAAGTTTTTACAGCACTTTTGTAACTAAACTACAATTTATAAGAAAATATAAAATTTCATCACCGTACCGTATTAACTCAAAATTGCATCTGCATCACCTTAATGGGTCTTCAACGGCTGCTGAAAGAAAATATCTAGTATATTTTCTTTTCCGAACTAACGAACTGGCTCACTGTTTAAAAAAAGAGCATACTCTTCCATCATAGGCCGGCAACGCATTTATTAAAATGGGTGTCCATGGGCTGCGGCGACTACCCTTTTGGGCGCACCATAGGTGCGTTTGTCCGCTATTATATAAAATAAATTGTGCGTGTACTAGGTGTACACACGTAAGAAGTGAAACTTCTTTATGATCTTATTTTTCGAAAAATGATCTACTATATGCAACTTTACAGAAATTCGTTAAATTAGATAAAGATTAACAAAAGGCTTTTATTATCATAGACATGAATACAAATATTTCATTTTACCTTATTACTACGAAAATTATTATAGAATTTCATTAATTGTAATAGAATTATTACTATCATTGAAAAACGTGACGATTTGCTACAAAATTTCTCCCATACGTCGATAAAGAAGTTTGATTCCAACGCCGATAAAGAAGTTAGACTTCAAAAAGCAACATGGCGCGTAACCGAAAAATGTGACGCGTAACGAAAAAATGTTACACTAAATTTTTTTCCAACCTCGATAAAGAAGTTTCACTTCAAAAATATATCAACAACCGTTAAGCGTAAACTTCAGGTTCATCACAACTAACTTGGTACGTCATTAAACTAAAATTAGCCATATTATTAAATACTAGTGATGTTGTAATAATAGAGTTAAACGATTAGACCCCGTCAATCACCGGAACTCACCCTCCAAAAAGCAGTAATATTATGTTGTGTCTTTTTTGTTTTATTTACTAACCAATACTATAATATATAGTAGCACCTATGACCGATATGTCACTAAACTAAAACTACATATGAATACTATAATCTTTAATAAAAAAGAATTTTATTATTAAACACAGCAAGGGTAACACAAATTCCTACATGACTTGTCATAGGCCCGTGTGCAACAGTGCACGCGGAACATGAACCGATTCTGAGCTAAAGCTTTATACAAAAAATTATGATAAGTTTATTTGAAATCAAAACTTAAATATATAATATGTTAGTATCAAATTTAGACGATATAATTCTATTTTTAGAACATTTTAAATTCAAATCATTTTTATTAGTACTGACTACTGTTTATATAGTCTAAGCTATAGACAAGAATTTGCGATTATAGTAAAAATGCATCTGTTTTATATCTACTCTGTAGAGGAAGCAGGGGCATAGACAAGCGTTAAACAGAAGTTGGTAAAGGCAAAGGATGCTTGTGATTGTCGCGTTGCTTGTGTTGAGTGTGGCTGACTCCCAATACCAATATTATAACAATGGTACAGTTGATTTACTTATTTACACAAAAGATAGCCAGTGTCGAAACTTTTTGACTCGATGGTTCCAATATCCTGAACTGAAAGGGAAGAATCTGGAGGGGGCTTAAATCAGACGACAAGCGTGCATATAAAAGTAAACAAAGGCTGTTAACTTTTAAATATCTTTAGTGATATCATTTTCTCAATAAATAAATTATCATTAATAACGTAATGTACTCCTTCATCAGTTCTCCGTTTTTGGGAATAGATTTTAGTTCGTTTGTTTTTTACTATCGTTTGTTTTGTTTCATATAATATGGAATGAGTAGTATGTATTTAAGTTACATTATCATACATAGTAGCAATGTCATTAGTCATTACTGCCAGCTGCCACTGTCATTATGACACAGAGTTCAATGACTACGGAATAATTTATTCTATAGACTATCAAATAGTGGTTAATTTGTAGATCTATTAATATTGGAAATTGAATAAACCACAGGTATTAACGGTTTAATTTATAAGGTCTGTGACAAAATGACAGTGGGAGCTGACAGTGACGCAATGGCTTCGACATAATAAATTACTTTAAATAATATTAACGACTATGAAAACACTATTTCTATTGACTATCAAATAGTCGTTAATTTGTAGATCTATGTAATCGAATCAACCACAAATATTAACTGTTTTGACAAAAACTTTGACGTTCTTAATTTATGAGCTTTGTGACATAACGACAATGACAGCTGATAGAAATGCCATTCCTCCGACACAAATTTTAAATTAGCCGATTCTAACTAAAATTGTAATCGAATTAAATTTTATTTTATTACTAGCTGATCCGGCAAATGTCGTTTTGCCATGTATATCATTTATAATAAAAAATAGGGGTTGATCGTAGAGGGGTGAAAATTAGGGGTTGTAATATGTATTTTTTAATGCTGTATCATAAAAAAATAAAAAGTAAATTTTTTTTCAAATTAAAAATAAATAATTTACGGGTGGACTACCCTTAACATTTAGGGGGACGAAAAATAGATGTTGTCCGATTCTCAGACATACCCAATATGCACACAATATTTCATGAAAATCGGTCGAGCCGTTTCGGAGATGTTTAACTACAAACACCGCGACACGAGAATTTTATATACACTGATACACAACTGGTACCACATAACATGTGCTTTGTGACACCGATTTTACCAATAAATTGTATTATTACGAGCTTTAAAACCAGTCACTCCGGGCATCGAACCAAGTACCCCTAGACACCTGGTGTATAAGTAACTTGTTCACTGTTCACTTACTCCACTATAATATGAATTCAAATAAGTATAGTTCGGATTTTAATATATCAAGAGCTTTTATTAAGGTCTATATTATTTAATACATTCAATATGTGAGATAACATCCCATCTCACAATAACTCGCAGTAATATTCGTCCCTTGAAATCCACATAACCATAATAGGGAATACGACCAATAGAAACGAGATAATAATATAGTAGAGAAACAATGAAGCTCAGTTATAATTATAAAATAAATAAATACACTGCACACACCTTTTTTTATTTATAGAACACCGGGCAAACGGGCAGAAGGATCACCTGATGTTAAATGATACCGCCGCCCATGGACACTCTCAATGCCAGAGGGCTCGCGAAAGCGTTGCTGGCCCTTTATGAATTGGTACGCTCTTTTCTTGAAGGACCCTAAGTCGAATTGGTTCGAAAATACTTCAGTGGGCTAATATCCCTCATTTGGCGATAGCCATTTAACTATCTTTGCATACACATGTGATTGTGATATTTTAGATTACTATTAAAGTATGCCCGTATGGTATTGTTTGTTTTTTTATATCATTAAAAACTGTGTAAAATCTTATTTGTATTATACACTAAAAACACTACAACTTTCCGAATGTAAGGTAAAGTCATCTTATTATACAAGAATAATGTATTAAGCTTCATTATTTTTTTACATTTCAGACATCCCTAGCTACATAAAACGAGCGTTAAATGAAAAGAATCGATATAAAATGGCGCCGAAAGCAACGAGGCACATCACTAACCTGACTCTTCCGGAAGTTGTGGAGAAAATTAAGAAGATCACGCTGTCTTTAAATCAACATGCAAAGAAAAATGGATATTTTGTTGATTATAACTTCCGTATAATTGATAAGGACTAAATATACGAAATCTGAGTTTTATTTTATTACATATTATACCTAAAGTTCAATCATTCGTCGCGTTTCGTACACGCAAATATGAGATTTTCATACAAATATTTACACGTTACTGCGATAAAGTATCATGGTTATATTGACAGTAAGGAGCTTATGTAGCCAATTATACATTTGATATTAAAAGTCAAGTTTTCTTTGGTATATACTGAAATATATTATAGACTGATTAAAGTGTATAATCTAAGCCTCCAGTAGATCAAGTTGACCTTTACACCTTTAGTTTCACTGAATAAAATTATGACTTTCAAAAAAGTTATAATTTTATTCTGGAAATAACCTTTTAAAATCACCATAAATAAATCAAGTAAGATTATTTTATTTTGTAATTACTGCGCTATTTTGCAATGCCTCATTGAAGAAAAGTCTTATAAAAAAAAAATAAAAAAAATCAGTGGCGCAACAACCTCTTTAGGTCTGGGCCTCAGATTTCTGAATCTGTTTCATGATAATTTTTAAATCTAATAGGCATGTAGGTGATCACCTGACACACGCCGTCGGCTTTTTGGGTCTAAGACATGTCAGTTTCCTCACGATGTTTTCCTTCACCGTTCGAGCGAATGTTAAATGCGCACATAGGATGAAAGTCCATAGGTGCACAGCCGGGGATTTAACCTACGACCTCAGGTATGAAAGTCGCACGCTGAAGCCACTAGGCCAACACTGCTCGAGTCAAGAAAAGTCTTATAAAGATTTTAAAATGCCTCAGGAATATCTGTAATGCACCGATTTGCTACGTCATGTTCGACTTGTCTCATTTAATTAATCATTATTATATAATCTTTCTTACTGTTTTAAGAACTTGTTCTTACGTCTTTGAGTTATCATGCAACATATATAAAATTCAAAATCATAAGAGGGAAAAAAGGATACTTCCGCAATTACCCTATCAGATTGGATCGAACGATCCCCCTTTCTCCTCCATATCTATGTGTCGTGTTACATTAGATAATAATATAAATAATACTAAATAAATCCATCAAAAAGTTATCTTGGAAGAGGTTAATGTATCAACTAACTTTGTATATAGAAAAATGTCGTTTAATTAAATCCATTCAAGTTGGCTGTATCAATACAATAAATTACATTAGATATTCCGACCCCGGGAAATAAAGTATACTTAATTACGACCGGCTAATATATCAGAGTAATCGGGGGAATATAAATCTATATTAGCCTTTAATGAAATATTGTTCATTGATAGCTATTTGTTAGTATTCGTTCGTTTCAAAGACTTGTATGAAAACAATTAAATATATATTATAGAAACAAAATTTGTTTTTGTTTGCGTTGAACGTTCAATACGACGCAATGATGACATATTTCAAAAACAAAATTGTATGCAAAATGTAACGTGCAAAGTTGTTTATGTTGAACTTAATGTGCGTTCCACCGAAATATGAAAAAATCTATTTGAAAATAAAACATTTTGGAATAAATACTGTTATTATTTCTAAAAAATGTTTGGCTAACTGTGTATTACGAATCGGTACGTAAGCTGCGTGTACTAAAATTGCCATTGTCCATGAAATTACCCTATTTCAAAACATGAAACAAATAATGAGTATTTATAAGAACATTATGTATATAAAAACCCGTACGTTACACCCCGTAAACGGTAGAATAAAACCAAAATTATTGTTATGTTTGTCGCACGACTGGCCTAACTCGCATCGTAAACTAGTCACACACACTCCCATAAATTTCACCCCCCTCTGCTGCGCCGTTCGGTATCGAAAACTTGATTCTTGAATAACATCTATTCAATATGTTTTTAAGTTTGTTTTGGACTAGTACGTTTTGTAAATTACGGTCACACTTGTATATAAGTATCTAGCTATTACTTAAGCTATTTAGGATATTAGGTTCACCGTAAACCTTAAAAAGGACCTAAAGTGTTTTCATTTAAAATACTATCGCTAGTGAGACCTTAATCAATGATTCTGTTTTTTTACTATTGCTAAACCATTATAAATAAACGAAAAGTACAAGGGACACAAAACACAACACCTTTTTGCTTGAAGGGCTACTCAATAGTAAAGTTGCATTAGACTGTTTATTATGACAGATAAGACGTTTGAAATGATTGGCGTGATAGTCGTTTTAAAACTAAACTGGTTCTTATCATAAAAGCACTAGGCTCAGTTAAAGATCGCTTTCACTATACTAGAACACTAGAACGATAAGGACAAAAGATAAAAGCTATTGATATACTCTGAATTTTAAAATAAGTTGGTTAGTTTTCAGACTAGCTCACCGTACATTAGTCTAAGGGTACGATTCAGTCTAGATTTAGCGAAGTATGAATCCCGTATGCCAAATCAAACTTTATAAATCTTTGAAGTGGCGCTTCTTATAGTAAACTTCTTTAGGCGCATGAGGGTAAAATTTTTACGGACAAGTCACGAAGTTTTTGTCCAAGAAAAGGGAGAGAGATTGAGACCAATTGAGAGAGAGTGAGAAGGGCGTGAGAATCATCTTATAGAAATTCTATTATTAAAATTAAAATTTGTAAAGAGAATTTATGAGATATTATATTTTATGTAAAATAATTTATTGAAATCTCAAATGACAAATTGTAAATTAAAATGACACGTGTTTTTATTATCGAAGATATAAATATAAAAATTAAATTTATTATTTGTATAAATATGAACAAGACTTAAAAATTAGCTTGCCAAAGAAGTTTCACTTCTGACATGTGCACTTCGTTCGCACTTACATTTTTTTTTAAATTACCCTACACCAAGAACAAAAAGAAACTTAGAAAGTTTCATTTCTACCTTATTTGAGAGTGTTTTATGTGAGAACGTATTTCGAGTTACGCCAGTTAATTGTACTCTAAGATACTTAAATTGTATTGCTTATGCACGCAATAAAATTTTAATGAAACATTACATTTTTCGATATTTTAGACAGTTTTCGTATAAGGTTCTCTTTTATCAGCTAAGTAGCAAAATGTCACATTAGATTGATTAGCTTTAAGTGGTACCCAGCGTGCCGAGTAAGGGAAATATTTTACAACATTTCACACTTATGATGTATCGATTACTCAATTTGAATTTAGACACTGTAAAGTTCAATAAGCTCCCAAAAAGCTTCCGGTACACCTCAGAAGATGTTTAACAAATTTTGTTTGATCTACATTCAGTCGTGCTACAAAGAGCTTCATATATATAAATCTTCTGTGCGTATGTTTGTAATTAAACTTGGGGGAAATTATTGTCTGTGTTAAAGTGGTTTTGAGAATGGTTAAAGATTTACAATAATAATATGATATTATAAATTTCTTCATTGATTACTTTTCTTAATAGTAGATCAGCGTTATGTTCCTAACGGACAACAATTTATCGGTGATAGCAGAAAAAAAATCGGTGTATACATTTCACCAGATTTAATTAACTAAGGAAACAAACAATCTTAGTATGCGAATTTAAATAAACGATATGTAATCACTATAGTATAATATGACGGTTTAAATATTAATAATAAGCCCACAGGGCACCTTGTGTCAAGGTGTCGGGGAGCGGTGACCCCGCAGTACACTTTTCTTCACCTCCGACTTACCTTATTTGGTAGGCCGAAGTGACGTCTGACGAGGAGTAGGCCTCTGGCTTACCTTAATTGGCTGCTTAGAGTGGAGGAGTCGCTAGAGCTATACGCTCGGTGGTGGAAGTGTCTAATGGTGTAATGGCGGCCGCGAAGATGAAATCGGTGCTCCACCTATGTACATCTCTAGCCAATTCAGTTGATGTTGCCCAATGTTGGTAACGGTCGACAGCCACAGTCTGTTTTTAATTTTGCTAATACCATAGTAAGGTAGACGCCAAAGTTCCCAATAGTGCCAAATCACATTCCACAAAATCCCCATACCAATAGACCAAATGAATTTTTCTATATTTTTGCAATAATACTTTATCGGCCGTGCACTATCAAGGGCTGTATCTACATGTGTGTTAGAGCCACGTAAGCCTTAGAAAGGAACGGCCACTGCTTTGACCGTAATGACCTGAGAATTACTAAACCATACACATAATAATAATGAACTTTATTCATAATTGATTTAACGCTAGTCTCATCTAGGGGCATAGGGACCCCTTGCGTTGTGGGTGACCAGATAACATTGTGCCAAAAAACTTTTAAGACACGTATGCATGAGTGTATGAGTATGTAAATGGGTGTTGTGCGTATAATACAGTGTGTATTTGAGAGTGTGCTTGATCTTGATCACTTGATTTTCTGTCCCTTTCTTGGCCAATTGACTACTAGGTATCTTATAGTTAAGGTACCTAGTCCATTGTTAAGTATGCGTAAGTGTGTGAGTATGGGAATGGGTGTGTGTGTGTATAATACAGTGTGTATTTGAGAGTGTGCTTGATATAGAGATTTTCTTTCCTTTTCTTTGCCAATTAACTTATAGCTAACGTAGTTGATCCCCATGAGAGCTGAGCCAAGTAAGTACAATTTTACTCCTCTAATTTAAATTCAAACACAAATCAAACCGAATCACTTTAATCCAGTATTGTATCCTCCATTATAATAAGGGGTTGGATAGGTTAATGCGGACCGGACCGGGACTTACGGTCACCCTGATTACTTAGCTAACTAAAGGCTTTAGATTTACATCTAATAATGAGATATTATAATTATAATGTTATTATAGATTAGCTTATGTCTAAATCAAATTGAAATCGTTTATTTATATAGGTAACACAATGTACACTTATGAATGTCAAAAAAGAAATACATGTTAAATGCTTCTGATTCTTCTCAAATCAAGGGAGAAGAGAAGAACTGGCAATATATTTATATTTTTTTAATCGCCATGTTTTTTATGTTACACAATGTTGGTAAGAAGCTGCAACCATTACACCATGTTTCACGTGATATCTTAAGTAATTAATAATAATAAAATAAATTAAAAACAAAGATTTGTCCTCTATCAG